GAGAGGGACATCACGTTTGCAGAGTGGAGGGGTGGCGAAGGAGAGGAAGACCTTCGATGAGATGGATCGATTCTGTGACTGGAGCGGTTGGAGTAAGTGCGTTTGAGATAGCTAGGTTGGCACAGGATAGAACAGCGTTTAGAGCTCTTGTACATAGGGTCGCTATGAGTTGCAAACGACTCGATGGCACATAACAACAGGATGAATCTATTTGTTTTCTTAGCAGTCCATGGTACACAGTACACTTCTCCAGCACCACAGCTCAAAGGCATCAATTCTCCTTCTATCCTCCCTAGTCATTGTCCAACTCTCTAACACATAACAAGTGATTGCAAAGACCATGGCCTGTATCAGACACACCTTAGTCTCCAGAGTGACTCCATTGCTTTTCAGTACTTTGGAGGGATCCCTAACAGCAGACTGTCCCATCGCAATAAGTCTTTTAATTTCCTGGCTGCTGGTGCAGAGTGTTGACTGTGGAGCCAAGCAAACTAAAGCTGTGAAGAATCTCAATCTCTTCATCATCCATCCTGATGCTGCCAATTGGTCCAGTGGTGAGAATCTTAGTCTTCTTGCTCTTGAGCCTCAACCCATATTGAAGGTTGATATTAAATGATCCAACATTTATTAAGTCCTGTTAAATTTTGCCACTGCTACCATTTTTAATAATGGTCAGGTGAGATCTTATAGTTGTTTTGATTCCGATCTCTGCTTACCAGTGATTTTGACCATTTTCTCATGTTTCTTGGTCAGCCAAATGTCCTCCTTTGTGAAGACTTTTTACATGTCTTTTGCCCATTTTGTGATTGGGTTATCAGTCTTCCTTATGGAGTGCCTGTAGTACTCTGTAAGCTTTACTTTTGAGACCTTTGTGTAAAATGTTGCAAATTATTTTCCAAGTCTATGGGCTTTCTTTTTACTTCATTGGAGAAAGTTTTTGATGTACACAAGGATGGATTTTTAAGAATGGAAATGTCCCACTCGTCGATTTTATCTTCTCCAGGTTGTGCATTTTTGCTTATGTTAGCAAGCCTATTTATGCTAAGACTTCTAAATTTGTTCCCATTTTGTCTTTGAAAATCGGTATAGTTTTGAGTTTTACCTCTATGACTCTGATACACTGTGGGTTGCTATTTTTATATGGTGTGAGATGTGAATCATGTTTGAAGTTTCTACAGGTAGATGTCCTATTTTGTCAGCATCATTTGTTAAAGATGTTGTCTTTTCTCTATTTAATGGCTTTTGTTTCCTTGTCAAATCAGTTGACTGTAGGTTGATAGGTTTATGTTTGGATTCTCACTTCTATTGTCATATGTATCTGTCGTTATACCAATACCATGCTGTTTGATTACTATGGCGGTGTATTATATTTTGAGATCAAGGAATGAGAGAAGATGCTTCCTACTTAATTTTTGTTTCCCAGAAGAGCTTTGTTTATTTTGGGTCTCTTTTCTTTCCAAATCAGTCTGGAAATTGCCATTTCTGTCTCCTTGAAGAATAAATTTAATATCTATATTAGAACACTGCTGGTCTAGTGGAAAGAAGCTTTCGTATAATCCTGAAGACACACAGTTCAAATCCACCAGCTGCTCTGCAGGAAAAGACGGTTATTCTCCTCTAGTGTAATTAACTGTCTCTGGAAACCCGCTGGAGGGTCAGCTATGGGTTGGTTCTGATTTGATAATATACAACGACAGCATTGGAATGTCATTTTCACAGTGTTCATTCCTCCTATTCATGCCTGGTTTCCGTTCATGAGGAAAATGTCTTTTGTATCTCTATTCAAAAGGATGTTGGCTCTTGGTTTTATGTATCTCTTTTTCACTATATATATATAATGGCGATTCCTCTCTATTCCTATTTTACTGAGTGTTTTAGTCAAGAAGGGATGTTGGATTTTGTCGAAGGTGTTCTCTGCCTCAATTGGTAGCATCATGTGATTCTTGTTCTTTGCTTTATTAATATGATGAATGACATTGTTTTTCTTAGTTGAACCAACCCTGCATTCCTGTTATGAATCCTACTTGGTCATGATGAGTTATTTTTTTATGTTCTGTTGGGTTCTGTTGACCAGGATTTTTTAAGGGATTTTTGAGTCTATGTTCATGAGAAGTATTGGTCTGTAGTTTTCATTTTTGGTCATGTTTTTGTTTGGTTTTAGTATTAGTGTTATGCTTGCTTCATAGAATGACTCTAGGAGTGTTCATTCTTTTTCCATTTTTTAAAATGATTTCTTCTTTTGAGATGGATCTGTTCAAGTGTTCAAAAATATGGAATACTTTACAAGTTTGCATGTCATCCTTAACATGCAAGGGTCATGCTAATATTCTCGATATTGTTCAGTTTTAGTCTAAGTCCTGCTGAATCAAGCACTAATTGAGTTATTGCATTGGCTTGATCACAAAAGAAAAATAAAAATCTGTTTCAATCTAGTATTCTTTCTATTAACGCAGGAGACTCTGCATTACTTCTCATTAATATTGCATAAAATTAGGTATGTTTGTGTAAGTAATATATTCTGATTTAAAAAAACAAAAGATGAAATCGTAAATGAAATGAAGAAATAGAAAATTTATTAATTAGTAATAAAATAATATTACCAAATAGAAAATGAAAACACCCTGTTTTTTCATTTACTTGGTTTTTAGAAGGGTACATACTAATCCATACTAATATGCACTGATTAGATATTGAACAACTAACTTTTATCACATCTTTCAGTAGGGCCCTCCCTCTTGTCTACCTCAATACAGATTTCTCTGGGTAGACATCCCCTAAGCCACGTGGTTTGGTTAAAGAAAAACAGGCAAGATTTTAGCCACTCTGACCCTATCAGCCAAATTCCTTGTGTAGGGTACAGCCTTTAAAACAATTTAAAAATAAAATACAATGTGTTTTAATCTTTACCTTGGTTTGGAAACTCTTAGGAAGTGAAGGTCTAAGGAGATGAAAATTACTTTTTGTCTAACTTAATGAGATTAATACTTATTTAACTCATAAAAATCTTATAAACACCTGGGTTAAGGTGTCAGGGCATCAAAGTGCTGCTTCTGGACCAGGTGATATATTGCAGAAGTTAGTAGAAATCCTCAGTTTCTTCATGTTTTGGATTTAATGGATTTCCTAAAACAAGAAAGAAAATCTTTGTGCAGAAATGTGCTCAATACCACACAGTGGAGAGGGATGGAAAAACAAGACTGGTCTGAATCTCTGGGGTCTCTTTGGGTGACAAACCAGACTAGCCCAGAATAGACTACTAGTGATACAAACAAAAAGAAAGCCAACAAGGAAAGGACATTGATTAATGCAGAGAGCACCTTGTTAGGGTTCTAAAAGATCTCCAGGGCTGGTTCATTACCAGAGATACTGGCAGAAAAGTTAATGGCAGGAAGAAGAGAAAGATATTCTGTAAGAGACAAGAACAGATGCATACCTCCCCCCTCCCCATGGTGAGATGAGGAAAAAAGGACCTATTTCCTTTTTAATAATCTTCACCCTTCAGTAGCCAATATCTCCAAACTACCAATATTCTATACTTTGATTCACTGTCAGAAGACACTTGACTTCTCTGTATCTCTTCATTTATAAAATTAGATCAAAGAAGTCCCTCCCTCATGGATTTGTTGAGAGTCTAAATTAATAGATTACTTTAAAGTGGTTGCCACACAGCAAGTCCTCAGCATACTTTGCCTGCTTAGCTCTGAGGACCCCTCCAGGATCAAGGCAGTTGAGGAACTGGGTACCTGTTAAGTTCTTTATCTGCAGCTCTTATTTAATCACCAGGACCACCAGTATTCTTTAAGAGCATTTCCAGGTGGTTTGGTTTCCCAGGGACCAGGATGGTGCTCCAGCTGCTTTTTTTTTTCTGCAGAGGAGGACTCCCTTGGAGTTCAAGGAAGGATAACCAGTCTGTACCATTTTTCTGGCGGGTATTACCAGTCAGTAGGCTTGGAAAAAGCCTGAGGGAAAACGTGTTCTTCTCAGCTTAACTAGCTGAAATAAGACAGATCCTGAGCATCCCCAGGACAGGAGAAAGAAAAGCTGCACATAGTGGAGAAATCCTTAAATGCCAGCTCCTAGTCCCAGGTCTCAGAACGTGGATCATAACGTTAGGACTTGTGGTCCTGTGGGGCTAAACAGGGGGGAAAGAAAGAAGTGATAAATCATTCAGGAAGAGGAGAGAAAGAACAAAAAAAAATCCAGGACTGATTGGAA